AAACTGAGGCTCTGAGAATGAAAGTGCTCTTGGGGGTTGAACTGAACTTCTCCTTTAGTACTTTCCTTATGCTGTGGAGGCATGAATTTTGAGCCCACTCAGCAGCAAGACGGCAGAACTGAGTGGAGTTTGGGCTGACTGATTTGAGATGGACATGAAAAGTTTAATGCAGTCCTGTTGGGCTTTGGCACAGAGAGTGTTTTGAAAGTCATAGGCTAGTGAAGTTTGGCTATATTCCCTGGTGCTCCCAGAAACAACACACCTCAGTCCCACATAAACGGTATATATCAGGAAAGGGCAGGACCCCTTAGGGAACCTTTCTGTGTCATGAGCTCTTATTCCTCAGGACTGACATGAAGTTGGAAAAACAGACCAAAATTCTCTCGCAGTGCTATAGCTAGAAAAGCATCATCATTTCCCAGGGATGGGGCCAGACGGTTAGCTGAGCTAATCCTCCTGTCTGTTTCCTCCTCCCCCAGGTGTGTCAGTCACCTCCAGTAATACAGGCGTGCCAGATATCTCGGGTTCTGTGTACTCCAAAACCCAGGTAGGTGCCTGGCTCTGGACAGAAGTGGAAAGAGAGATGGATATCACGGAGGTGGAGTTGCAGTGATAGAAGAACACTGAACATGGGAATTCCCTTGCTGTCTGGTGGTTAGGACTTGGCACTTTCATTGCCATGGGCCCTGGTTCAATCCCTGGTTGGGGAACTACGATCCCACAAGCCATATGGCCAAAGGGTGGGAAAATACAGTGAACAAGAACAGTCTTCTTAAGAGAGGTATCAGGAAACCCATCCTACTAAAAAGTGAGTGAGTTCTTAAAGTTTAAATTTAGCCCTCTTGGAAAAAAGAAAAATGTTACAGGAAGGTGAAGTGTGGTAAATTGTTGTGATGTCATGTTGTTTACCGTGCAAGTTTTCCTGGCCCTTTGCTTACTCCCAACCTTTTCATAAGTTTCTCAGAGAATAGATATGGAATGAAAGGAAACTAGTTCTTCCCATTCTTTGTAAGACTATAATAGAGTGGGAAAGGATACAACACAGCCCAGTAATTAAAGCGAGGAGGCATCCAAATTATGCACAGATTAGTATTGTGTTGCTCCCACACGCACACCATAAATAATTAAAAGTTCCAGGTAAAGTACTAGGAGCTGTGGTGGAGTGCTTCATGACCAAGACCATTAACACTTAAGATACCTCAGTGTATTCATTTTTTTTTAAAAATATCCAACAAGTTCTAATTTTTACCCAACTCCAGAGGTTGTGCTAATAGTGCTAATAGTCAACAGATTTCACCGTGTTCATGAATGATGTTAGATTTCACAAAGTGCTCTCACATCTGTCCTCTTATTTGGTCCTTAAAACTGAGAGGTTAATAGCATCCCTGATTCATGTAAGAGAAAACAGGCTGAGAGACTGAATAGTTTTCTCAGGATCACATAGCTATTAAAGACTAGAACTGAGGCAGAGACCTGAATATCTGACTTCAGGTGCAGCATTCCTGTGACACCATGCTGCTCTCTCAGGGTGGGGGATCTTAGATTCAGAAATTCCAAGGAATAGTTTGCTGATCCTTTTACTCTCTCTCCTCCTATTCTTCTGGATAGCAGTCCTTTGAGAAACAAGGTTTTCATTCCGGTACTCCTGCTGCCTCCTTCAACTTGCCTTCAGCCCTAGGAAGTGGGGGGCCCATCAATCCGGCCACAGCTGCTGCCTACCCACCTGCCCCCTTTATGCACATCCTGACTCCCCATCAGCAGCCGCACTCCCAGATCCTTCACCATCACCTGCAGCAGGATGGCCAGGTAATAGCCCTTCCCCCTCTTTCCTTTCCCTTCCTCTTCCTTCCTATCCCTAAAACTACCTCCCCTTTCCTTTTCTTACCCTTCCTCACCACCAACTTCACCCAATCCTCCCCAGCGCCAGCCATGGGCACACAGCACATACAGACACAGCGCACATAACACGAGTGGCCGGCAAAGGATATGTCAGAGAGGGGCCAGATTGCAACCTTTTTTCCCCGATTCCTTTGGTGCCTTTCTCCTCCACCTCCTCCCATAGCAGTTGTCCTCATCCCATCAGACCTGGCTCACACCTCCCCTCTTAACCTCTCCCAGCCTTCCCCCTTCCCTGACATTATAGCTTTCCCTTCTAATGGTGGAGTTCTATTGTCAAAGTTTGTCCCTTTATTTTCCATATATCCTGGTTCTGCCTCAGCTACCATATTTGCAGATGATTCTCTGTTGCCAGCGCCAGCAGGAGGAGCAGGTAATGAAACTGAATGATGATATGCTTGAACCCACTCCTTTTCAGTCCCCATTTCACCTCCACAGTCTCAGGGAACGTGAAGAGAAGAGATTGCACGGTCACAAGGCGGGATACACGAACACACACACCTTGCTGAGCTCTCTGGCCTCCCGTTCCTCTCTCGTCCTCCCCTCCTCACTGCTCTTTTTCTTTCTACCCTTCCCTGACTTTTGAAACACTTGGTTACTGGAATGGAAAGGATTCTTGGAGCAGCATCTGGAGCCTGGGGCCTCAGACTCTTATCTTCTCTGAAATAGGCTCACAGATGTGATGTGTGATAGGGCTGGGGAGCCCTGGGGTGGTGCAAGTGACCTCTCCCCCTTCCTCATAGGTGGCTTGGGAAGCTAGAGTAAGGACTTCCTTGCTGTCAACTACAGATACCCAAATTGAGGCATTTATAGGGATCATTGAAAGTGAAATCACCTTGTGATTACCCATCTCCAAAAGGCCATAATTCTCTCTAGAGAGTAGCCTTCTGGAACAGGAGAGGATGGGTTTGAGGGGTGGGGGGAGGTGGAATTGAAAATGAGTAGAACCTGATTCACTATCTTGCCTCCAAAAGTATCCTGCCCTCTTTTCATCTTTCCCTTATTTAAAGTTTATAGGTGCTTTTTTACTTGTCAGAGGTGCTTTTAACTGCTGTATAAACCAAATTTCTGATGGTTGAGAAGCAAGCTTCAGAGTAGTTTCTAAGCCAGGGGAATGGGAGAGTAAAACAATTTCTAAATCTCCACTTGAAGATGTCATAAATTCGTCCCACTAACTCGACATCTTTTTCCTCCCCATTCACCCTCCCATTCCCCTGCAGACGGGCAGCGGGCAACGTAGCCAGACCAGCTCCATCCCGCAGAAGCCCCAGACCAACAAGTCTGCCTACAACAGCTACAGTTGGGGGGCCAACTGAGGCCCCGATCCTCTTCTCCCGGTCCCATCTTCTGAGAGGGCTTCTCAGCCTGGCAACTATGGAAACAGCATCAAAGAGAGAAAAGAATGTGGGGGGTTCTGCTACCCCCCACCCCCAGCGGCCCACCCCATGCCTCAGCTTCATGTCTGTCCCATTCCCATACCATCCCCACTCTGTTGTATGTATTATAGGATTTGTATTTTCTCCTTTTTTTTTTCTTCCTTTCCTCTCTTCCTCCTCCCTTGCATTCAAGATTATGAAACTTTGCTGTGGGCCCTGCCCTCTCTTCTCCTCCTCCTGTTCACCCTGGTGGTGTGTGGGTGAGGTGGGGAGGGGGGACCCCCAAATATATATCAGCCCAACAGCCCTAAGTCTCCTCCTTTATTATTAGGAAACAAAACAACAACAACAAAAAATGGCGTCATGAATATGAACAGCATTGTCAGATGAATTAGTTGAAGTGGTTTTTTTTTTTGTACTGTGTCCTCAAATTTAATGGATTAATGTGTCTTGTATATATAAAAAGAAAACCTCTACCTTCAGCCTCTGCCCATTCTTGCTCCGTCTAGGATGTCCTCAGTCTCGTCGATGACCAGCTTGGTGAATAAATATTACTGTACCAACTGGGCCTTCTCTAGCAGGCCCCGAAGGCAGTGGAATAAAAACGGAATCTTCGCCCTTTAAGAACTCTGACCTTAATGTGCTGCCCTTGAGGGGATTCCCTCGCCCTCCCTCAAAAATTTCACAGTGGTGCCTGGAAAGAATCATTGCCAAACTTCATTTCCTTCAGATCTGTAGCAGATTTTAGGCAGTGAAGGGAGTGGGATAGCTGATACTGGGTGGAAAGGGAAGGGATTAAGCAAGAACTGAAAGAAATCACTTTTTATCAAGAGAAAGTTAATTTAGATGGGTCCAGGCAAATGAACTGGAAAGAAATGAAGGCAAAACATGCACCGTTGACTAGCAAAACTGAAGCAGTAGGTCTTGCTTCTTGAGTGTTTTCGTTTCACATAGCTAATATCCAAACCCTTGAAAAGGAGGAGGCTAGAGCAAGGCCAGGTTTGGGAAGGAGGTGGGGGTACAGAAAGGGGGAGAAGCTTTGAAAGTCATTGATAGGCAAAAGGGGATACTGATATCTCCAAATTCTTCCTTCCCAGAAAGACCAGATTTCCCTTGCTGTCTTACAAAGTCTATTCCGATGGTTGCAGAGCCTATCTTGACAAACTACTTAATAGCTGGAAAGATGAAGTTAAATCCATGCACTCCTGTATCTTTTACTCTGGGGATGTCATTATTAAAGTTGGAGCTTGATACATTTTGTCCATTCCTCTAATACCAGACTTAAGTCAGGCGAGAAACAAAGAGGATGAAAGAAGGGAGTGAGGTGGGTTAAGACAGAACACTGCTCCGTGGGTGTGGCGAGTCTGCAATGAGCGAGGGTCTGGGTCCGGTTCATTTGTGTGGGTGGGGTGCCCTCTGGCGGCTGTCTCCAGTGCCATCAAGCGTCAACCCCTCGAAACCCTATTGGAGTGGGTTGGTCAGCCAAAAGAATTGGCTTAGAGGGCAAGTGTTCGTTGGAAAATAATTCAGTACGTCCGCTCCCTTCACAGGAAACAGGTGGGGGCAAAACTGAAAGCCTTTAGAATTTGATAGGATCGCCCGCCCCGCCCCTCAGCGACGGCCGGCTTACGGTTGTTTTACGACAGTGTGCGATCTAATGCTTGCTTTCCGGCAGCGTGGTCTGACGCTTCGCTCAATTTCCGACAGCGTAGCTCTGGCTGTTGCCAGCTGTGGGCTTCGAAGGTTCGAGTCCCACTGCGGGAATGAGCCTTTTTGACCTCTTTCGGGGCTTTTTCGGCTTTTCTGGACCTCGAAGGTGAGAGCGGGTTCGGGCCAGACACGGAGGGGCGGGAGTACTCTGAGGGGAGCTTGACCTTTGACACCCTATTTTTGGAAAAACATCCTTTTCTCCACTCCTACAACTCCTGCGGAAAAGAAGGTCAACATTGAACACACACACACACACACACACACCCGACAGTAACCAGGGCGGTCGTTAAGAAACAGTCGCTTCAGCCTTTCTCCAATTTAGGGTGATGCAACAGGGGGACCGGGTGGGGAAGACAATGGGACTCTGGGGAAGAGGACAAGTGAGCAAGACCTTGGGGGAGGGGAGGGGCTGGAAAACACTTAAGAAAAGCCGCAGGAAACGTTGGGGGCGGGGGCGGGGGCGGGACACGACTTTGATGAAGCAAAACAAACCTGATGGCCAGTCCTCTACCCTCGCTTCAGGTTCTCAGATCCCAACTCTTGTCCCACTCTGTCGCGCATTAGCTGATGTTATGGTTTAAGTGCTGAAATTTTGGTGGCTAATCTGCCTCCACCCCTAGCCACAGAGATTCCTTTTTTGGAGGAATGACTCGCGATGAAGACGAAGATGATGAGGAAGAGGAGGAAGGAGTCACGTGGGGCCGTGGGAACTCGAGGTTTGAGGGTCCCCAGCCCCCCGAGGAATTTAGCTTTGGCTTCAGCTTCAGCCCTGGAGGAGGAATGCGTTTCCACGATAACTTCGGCTTTGATGACCTAGTGCGGGATTTCAATAACATCTTCAGCGAGATGGGGGCCTGGACCTTGCCTTCCCGCCCTCCTGGTGTGTGGATGCTCCTGGGGAAGAACCTGTGGTTTCTACTGGGTCGGTGGGTGAAAAAAAAAGACTTGCAGAGAGTAATCGGGGGTTGGGAAGTGTGAGAAAGCTGATGATTTCAAGGAGATTTAAAAGAGCCCAAGTCCTTTCCCACTCCCAGCATCCACCTGCCACCTTTCTGCAGAACTTCCAGGTCCTGAGTCAGAGACACCTGGTGAGAGACGGCAGGAAGGACAGACGCTTCGGGACTCAATGCTTAAGTATCCAGATAGTCACCAGCCCAAGATCTTTGGTGGGGGCTTGGAGAGTGATGCAAGATCTGAATCCCCCAAACCAGCACCAGACTGGGGCCCCCAGAGACCTTTTCATAGGGTGAGTACATCTGGGCCTTAAGTGGGATCTGTGGAGAAGACTGACTGCAAAGACTGGAAACCTTGCTGGAATCTAACAGACTTGGGTTGTATTTATCTGTTTTCTATATTAAACTTTGTGTAGGATTTTCTTTGGGAGGAACTGGGAGTTCTGCTTTTGTTAAAAATTAGTGTAGATGATCCTTGGAGAAAGCAGAAATGTTGAAGGAGGACAGAAAAGTGTCAGTTCAGGAATGCTTTTTGGTAGAGAAATACATGAATCAGGAAGGAGGAGGAGTGAGTAAAGAAAGCCATCCTGCTGGGATCATTTCTTTTGAAAAAAGTGGTTTTGGAACTTGGAAATAGTTTGGGTTCTGGGGCCCCTCATATTTCAGATTGAAAGGGTGACCTACTTTGGCTTCTTCTACAGTTTGATGATACGTGGCCTGTGACCCCCCACTCTAGAGCCAGGGAAGACAATGGTAAGTCTGGAGGGAGAGGACATTTACCAGCCCTGTAGTCTGTCTCCCTGAAATTTCTGTCCACCACATTTGTTCCCTTCTTCGCTTTGGACTCTTTCTTATTTCCTTTCTGTGCCCTCCTAGATCTTGATTCCCAGGTTTCTCAGGAGGGTCTTGGCCCGGTTCTGCAGCCCCAACCCAAAACCTATTTCAAGAGTGTCTCTGTGACCAAGATCACTAAGCCAGATGGGGTGAGTTGGGAGAGATGGGTAAAGGCAACTAACCAGAGAATGTTCTGGAAAGGGGGACTATGTAAAGAAACCAGTGAACTCACCTTCAGTGATGTTAGGGATATGCTGGGGGGACTTCTCCTTGTAGACTATAGAGGAGCGCCGGACTGTGGTGGACAGTGAGGGCCGGAAAGAGACCACAGTAACCCATCAAGAGGCAGGCGGCAGTCCTAGAGATGGTAAGTGAAGAGTATAAATGAAAGGGATCCATCTCTCAATTCCATGGGAAAGGGAAACTACTACTCTCCTGCCCTTTCACATTACTGCTCTCCTTTGCCTCTTTCCAATCCCTTTCATTTAGCCTGTGTGTATCACTTTTTCCTTTAGGTCTAGAATCACCAACACCTCCATCCTTGGATGATTCCTCTTCCATCCTGGATTTGTTCCTAGGACGTTGGTTCCGGTCCCGGTAGCCTTGTTAATTAACCTCAGAGGCCTTTAGATTCTTTCCACCTCCTACCCTTGCTCGGTATTAATGGGCTTAGCTGTCTTCCTGTCCCCTCAGGACCTCGGGTGTGCAGAGCAGTGAACTGAAGGTCTGTCAGTGTGTCCGTCACCCAAACTGACCAATAAAACCTTTATTTATGCTAATTCTTTGGTCTTGGTTTTGTCATGGCTATTCCGCTTACTCACACTATCCAGGGCTTCCCAAATTAACTTGGCCCACAAAAAATTATCTCTTAATTTTTTGCTTTACTTGCAAAACTGATTTTGATAAGTAAGGACCAGGTACCTTTAGGAAATGATTTTCCTTATGAATAGATAACTAGTGATAGTTCCAGGGAAATTTCCACATGCGGATGCATCAGTTTTTAAAAAAACGATGTGTGTAAGTGTATGGGGAAAAACTGCTTCCCTATGTGTGAAATTACTATGATTGGATAATTCAGAGAAAATATAACTAGCGAAGCATTATTGGTCATTTTAACAAGTGGTACTGGAAAGGCTGGACAGCTGCATACAAAACAAGTAGATTAGAACTTTCCATTACACCAGATAGAAAAATAAAAAGATGTAAGACATGAAGCCATGAGACTTCTAGAACAGAACATAGGCAAAGCATTCTCTGACATAAATTGTAGCAATATTTTCTTGGATTAGTCTCCCAAGGCAAAAAAAAAACAAAAAAAGCAAAAAAAAAAAATGGAGCCTAATTAAACTTAAAAGCTTTAGCACAGCAAAAGAAACCAACAGAACAAGAAGACAACCTATGGGATGGGAGAAGATATTTGCAGATGATATGACTGACAAGGGGTTAGCAACTAAGATATATGAAGAACTCATAGAACTCAATGTAAAAAAATCCAGTCAGGACTTCCCTAGTGGTCCAGTGGTTAAGACTTCATGCTGCCGATGCATGGGGCATTGGTTTGATCCCTAGTCGGGGAACTTAAGATTCTACACGCTGTGTGCCCCATCTCCCACCAAAAAAAAAAAAAAAACCAA